AGAGAAAGATAAGAGCTGGACAAGGGAGGAACACATGCACCCACCATCACCACCTAATTAACGAATCACGGTCTCTTACGCATTGGCCTCGCAACCTAATTCGTTAGGTGCATATCAATGCAACATAAACAATTTCGGACTAGGCCCACTCTGGTCTTCTCCGAGAGGTGCAAATTGCGACACTCTTCGGTGTATAATCGCGAGGTGCGTGTCGAGGGTCCGTGAAGTGGTTTAGAGACGAGTTTGTTCTTGAATTTGTTAAAGTGCAAAATTCAGACAAAGACTCTATCTTCACGTAAAGCTTTCACGTTAATAATCACGTTACATTTTTAATTCAATATATTAGTTTATCGACACTCTTCGGTGTATAATCGCGAGGTGCGTGTCGAGGGTCCGTGAAGTGGTTTAGAGACGAGTTTGTTCTTGAATTTGTTAAAGTGCAAAATTCCGACAAAGACTCTATCTTCACGTAAAGCTTTCGCGTTAAATAATCGCGTTAATAATTACGTTAAATTTTTAATTCAATATATTATTTTATTTTTTCCATTCAATTATATTCAAGTTTATTCTTTTTAATTTTTAAAGTATAATTTTATTTTACAGTTTATTTGAATTCAAAAATTGGTCACTTTCAAAATTCTCATTGGTGGAGCGCTTACATGTGTGTGTGTTCTTCCCAGGAACCAGGCGCAGCCGTCATTTCACATTTTACAAGAGGTTGATTTATTCTAAATTCATACAAGTACAGATATTTCGGTGAGTTGTTTCCTTTATTCTTCCAGCTATTTTATGAATTTTTCGGCAAGTAAATCAGTAGTTAATTATTTAACTTTGGGATTTCCCACACTGGATTATAATTTTATTTTGCATTTAAGTAATTGTTTCTCCTTCAAATCTACGAATTGCGCGTCTCGGATATTTACAATATTTTCGTTCAGTTCATTGTGATTCACATTATATTATATACGCTACCATTCTAATCGCTTCATATTCTATAAAATATAATCTTTTGAATATTTTAATTAGTTTGAATTACATTTCTTTAATTGCCTCCGTCATTTCCTCTAAACATTGCGATCTTATGAAAGGGCCCGTATGGGACTAGCGTGTCTCCGGATCCACAAAAACATTAAATCCCGTTAAAAATTAATGCACACACGCTTCACACTGAACTTTCTGTTCATGTCATTTAGAATTTTCATTGTATAACGTTACACCCAGTAGCATGAAATTGTCTTAACGGACGAAAATTAGTGTGGCGTAAATCGAATGGACAATTAAAAATAAGAAATATGCAATCGATGCTTAAACACGGTGATGGAGGCTTGATGGTTTTTATTGAAGATAAGAACAAATATTGAGACATATTAATAAAAAATTTGTTAAAAAGTGCAACGAATATGGGCATACGCGACAGTTTTAAGTTCTACCAGGATAATTTCCGAAACATAAATCGAGAATAGTTCAGGAATCTTTATTATATGTATGCTTCTCCGAAAGTGTTCCATCCTCTGCCACAATCATCGGATTTAAATCCAATTGAAAATCTATGGGTCTTATTGGATCGTAATGTTAAAACTACCCACATAAAAACAAAAGACGAATTAAAAAATGGGGTGCATAACAGTTCAACCGACGACAAAATAACCGAACGACAAAATAACCGACGACAAAATAACCGAATAACAAAATAACCGTTCAACACTATAACACCACATATTAATTATATTCAACCAACATATTTATTACCTAACCTAACGTAACCTAACCTAACCTAACCAACATGGTTATTTTGTCGTTTGGTTATTTTGTCGTTTGGTTATTTTGTCATTCGGTTATTTTGTCGTTCGGTTATTTTGTCGCGGTTATTTTGTCTGCGGTTATTTAAGCGTGCTACCAAAAAATGCGTCTGACGGAAGAGTGGAAACGCATTACTCAAAATTATTTAAATAAAATAATTTCAAACATGCCAACACGTTTGCAACACGTCATCAGACAAAAGGGATGTCCCAAAAAATATTAAATTAATATTAAATTTATAACTTTGTTGTTACATACATTCTAAATAAGAAAAAACTTTGTGTAATATTAAGTGTCCGAATATTTTTTCGACATCACTATCGGGTCTAATTTCGTTTATAATTTATTATGTGGAAAACGATGAAAGATAAAGTATTTAATTTTACATATTTGTAAACTAGAATATGTGCTTTACCGCATTACGGAACAGAAAATTCGATAATCACGTTGCAAGTAAGAACATAAAGCTTTAATTTCGCAAATACCATAGTGTCCGAATATTAAATCGAGTAACTGTATGTAAATTAATAGTATTCAATCATAAAGCGTTGCCCTTATATAAACACTCGATCTAGCGAAGAATGTATTAAAAGGACCTATATTATAAATTCGTTCTAATATGATCTTTTTTGTAAGTACAAAATGAATACATTAGTTAAAAATATAAAGAATAACAGAGTTAGCATTGATACAATTGTTTGAAAAAGTTGCTGGAGCAACATAAGTCATTCCAATTATTGACCACCGAATGCGTACAAAATTATGGTGAAAAATTCTATATACGTATAACATAAAGACATGTACATGCTTATAGAAATGTTAGCAGCACCATCCACCATGTATTGAGTTCCAAGATTTATCAAAAACATATATTGTATTACAGTAATAACTATCAGTAAGTAGAACATATTTTCTCCGATATTTGTTGCATGAAGTATTGATTGAGACAGCTGAAATAAATAACACAGTTTAATAATCCTATAATCTGATTTTCTAAGAACATCATATCGTTTATTTCAAATAATACTGGGAACATAAATAACTTACAAAAAACAAATTTATGCTCAGTGAAATCACTCCTAATATAATTATAGGCATATACGTGGATGCAATCTGGGCATCACATTCATTGGAAATCCTTAAAAAATAATAGCATTGATTAATTGACGTGTGATCGTAAGAATAAAGAAAATGAAGTGAGTTAGTAGTTTGCAATGTACGTGTTTCAAATATACAGGGTGGCTCACCATATTTTGCCATCTAGATTTGCGTCATTATTATTACTCATAGCAAATAATGCTTTAAATGAAGTTGAATGGTTCTGAGGGGGGCATATGCTGGTGGTATGTTTTTTTTGTAGGTGGACGTGTAAAGAATATACGAAGGTCATTAACCCTTTCGCTTCGAGCGCCGGATATATCCGGCATCCGCGCGGCGACTTGTGCGTACGAGCGCCGGATATATCTGGCATCCACACGACGACCTGCACGTGCGAGCGCCAGATATATCCGGCATCCACATGATGTGTATACAAGTACCATCTGTGGTCAATGACAAATTCTTTGTTATCGGCAGAACACTACTAATTTCTAAATATTAGTATACTAACTAATTTGTGTTACATTATTAATAATATTAAACGTTCAATTTTAAAGTCTTGTAAATATGTAAATAGCTAAGAATTTGTCAACTGTAATTAGTCTAATGTCTTTAAAGTAACTAATATAATTTTGTTTAACTGTTTTCATATTAAAATGTGAGGAATACATGCTATATTAAAGCAACAATTGTTTTATTAAGCATAGTAATTATTTAAGACTTAAAAAATGTATATACAAAAACCACGCGCACTGTGCACATTTCTGGCGCGTGCTTCCGTACGGTGACGACACTTCGGCGGACCGGACTGCCGAAGCGAAAGGGTTAATGTTTTAATTCTTTTTTATTTTGATCGACAATATTCGATGGCGACTTAATTTATATTTCAACATTAATATTTTTATCATAAATAATTGAAATAATTTTATGTTTTTTAAACGATGATTCATCTTAAAAAGTATTAATCTATTTATGTGAAAAAATCATTAGTTTAGGAGATATTTTAATTCCAACTTGTTAGGAAATTGTGACTGTCTGGTTAATACTATGAATTGCCCTAACTGAACGGCAAATGTTTTTTTACATGCTTTGAGGAGTCACGTGTCACCAAACGAATTGTGAGTTCTTGTTATTTTTTTGTTACGCAGTAAGAGTGAAATTTTTTCTCTGTTACGTCTCTAATACGATGAATACGACAATAGGGTAAATTATCACTTCATAATGAAGTATTATAAAGAAGAAAAAATAGACATGTTATCAGTTTATTTTGAAGCTGGGAAAAGTGCTACACATGCAGAAAGATTATGCACTACGGAATGTTAGTAAGTCATTAATTTCTCGATTCAGAACATGTTCTGATGCAAATGGTCGCCACATTAAACCTTTTCTGTAAGTAGACATTAAAATTAAAATATCTCCTAAACTAATGATTTTTCACATAAATAGATTAATACTTTTTCTCTCAAGAATATAGAAGAGTATCAGCTGATGCAATAAAAAATATATGATTCCATTTAAATAAACATTAATGACCCTCATATGTCCTTTACACGTCCACCTACAAAAAAAATATGCCCCCTCAAATTGCGTCAAATATAATGACGCAAATCTAGATGGCAAAATATGGTGAACTACACTGTATAAATTACTTGCTTTAGTTTAAAATGAAAATATTTTAAGTATTGAAGATTATAATACTCTTTGTTGTATGTATATTATGTAATTTACTAAAAGTGTTAGAATTTGTTATCATAAGTATATAAATATACCCACTGAATGGTTTCTTTATGCATGATCACACTTTTAATTAAGTAACTCATATTCTTCTTATTCGCACATTTGCGTGGAATATGAGAATTAGTTATTTCGATGGAAATAGCTGTTTGGAAATAGTAACTGAAAATAATTGTAAACAATTTAATTGGATAAATCATATAAATACTCCATCGTGGAAGTATATATGTATATCACCTATTCAGTTATAAATAGTACCTTCTTATTAGCTATAAATAATATTATGAACAATATTTATCTCACAATATTACCTAGTAACTTCAAATAAGCTGGTGATATGTAGACAAATCATAATCGTTAACGATTCTGTTCCACTATATATAGTTCCAATTAATATTATCCAAAAAATGTAAATAATAGTAGCAACAATAGGATGTCTCTTCTCGTCGAAAAAAAGTACCACATCTACTGGAAACTTTATTGGTCGGGATTCATTGAGGGGAACAATTATATCAAAAATAATAGGCGAAAAATGGTATACTATCGCTATGCTCGACAACAAGTAAACAGCTGCTGTAAGATGTATAGCATGTTAATTGTCATACTTTTTAAGTCATCAACAGTAAACCGTTTACTTACATGTAAAAAGTATTGACATCTGTTTTCCCAAATAGTTGCATTTCTGCATAATTCGAAGTATCACGTCGTTATCCGTTTGCCAATGTAATTGAACTCGATCCATAAATTCCTTTATCTGTATTTTATAGTGATGTTTATATTTGTAACTTACTGTTATATTGTATCACTTACTGTATTAGCTTGATACACCATTGCATGATATTTTACAAATGAACCCATAGATACAGTCATAAGTGTCAGGTTCTTTAATACACGATACAATGTCATTTTCATAGTGACGAAGGCTAGAACCTAAATAATTTTATTATATCATTAATTGTTAGCGAAATTGAGGTAAAAACGCGATATAGTCGATTCGCACTAAAATGGACAAATCGGAATAGTGCGATATCGTTATACGAAATAATGATTTCATGTGGAAAATAAAATTCGTGGATACTTTAATGAAAATAATTACTTACTTTAATTTGGAATTGTCTAAAGCTATGGGAACACACAGGACACATCGAGATTTATCTGCTTGATAATAAATAAAGTAAATGATTTCCTTATCCGCATACGTAACAAATTGATCATTCAAAAGTAATTATTTATTGCTGATATCTACAGATTGCTGCATAACATTGTGATCATTAAATGTTACTTCTTCTAAGTTTCCTATTAAGCTAATTTTTAAACACCATATTCAATATTTACCAATAAATTAAAATTAATTTTAATTAATCAATGACTTCCTGCATTATATTATCTTATTATCGTTTTTGTCGATCAGATTAATAAAAATATCAGAATCAATTTAATTAAATGTCATAAATTCATACATATTTTCAGGAAACTAATGACTTGAGAAATACATAAGTTGTTGTCATAAATATCAATTAACACGTTCACGTCGGCGTGACCTACCGGTGGGTCACGTTTGACTGTTCCGTGGGACGGCGTGACCCACCGGTGGGTCACACTTAATTGTCCCGTGAGGCGACGTGCATTGCAGGTGGGTTTTCGAAAAATAAGTTTATTTTATTTTTTGTCAACATTATAAACAAAAATTGAGTATTATAAGCATTAACATTCAATATTTTTAATTGATAACAATTATTTATTTATAAGCATGCAACTTTTTAAAACATTCTAAACAAAATGCGGGCTGGCCCTTACAACTTTTACAATATGTTCTTACTTCTTTACTTTTTTTTCGCGGCGTATAATCTACCTTGTATTTTCAATAATGGTTTGTAACATTCTTTACATCGTTTTCTTGTTTTTCTGGCAGCTCCTTTGAACGATTGTAGAAAATGTGTGTGTTTTCTTGACCGTTTTTTCTTTTCTATTTCACATTCTTTGATTTCTCTGTGAAAAATTCAAAAAGGAAAAGTGCTAACCGCCCCTGTAGAAGAAAAGATTATTTTATCTACCTTTACACTTGATGCAAGAAATGTGCGTTCTGAAAATCAATGTCAAAACTGTTTTGATTTCGTATTTAGCGCGTTCGAAGCTTCGAAGGAGCAACAATGTCGCGCCGCCCCACGAAGCGAAACGTAAATACTAGCCCCGGCGTGAACGTGTTAAAATATTTGTAACTGTCATAGTGGAAGATCTTTTCGGTTTTTTAAATAACATTCAAAAAAGAATGAAATAAACAATTAGCAAAGAAATAATACGCATATCTCACTCCACTTCAGTAGAAAAATTTCATAGACGTAGAAATTAATGTATTAAGCAAGCCTGATATTCATACCTGGACAAGTACACACAGCGAAACGTTAACGCTGATAAAAATATTTTTAAACAATCGCAACTTTCTGCTTCCGTACGGCCAAAGTCCTATCACGGATAAAAGAAAGACACAGAGTTTATTGCAACCGTTTAATTCAACCATTGCATGTGTGGGTTCAAACACAACTGATCTCCGAGTTACTTATGCACCCTCTGTTTTCCCTAGCTCTCCGAAAATATCTTATTTTCAAAGAATGTTTTGATAAAATGTTGCAAGAAGTTTCTTACCAGAGCAAAATGATTGACAGATTCTACAATTCTAAAATTACTTATTCATATTTAGGAAGGGTATGAGTAAATCAATACCTACAGCTCGTCTTGGTACGGTGGGAAAATTATGGGGTGCAAGAAATCATAAGAGAAGAAACTTTTTCGAATAATTTTTATATTTTGTATTTCTCCGAAGCAAGTCTACGAGCGGGGGCATTGTTCGATCGCCTTCAGTCGGTTTACTTCCTCCGAAGAGAGTAGACGTGTCCAGTAGCAAACAAGTGTCAGTAGTGGAAAGTTATAAAGTAATATAGACGTAATAGATATTGGTGAGTTTATATTTCCTTACAATTGTAACAACCCTGGAACCTAAGTTCAGATAGTTACAAGCGCTAAAAGGTAAAGAGCGGCTTTTACCCCTAAACGACTCGATTTCGCAAGTAAAGATTGTGGGATTCGTGTGGTGTGCGGTTAAGTAGTGAAATCCACAGGTCGAAATCTTTCAACAATTAGATTTATTCAATAAACGATAAGAAATGAAACTAACAAACAACAATAACAACAAAAAAAAGAAAAGTATATAAATTATAAATGATTGATTAGAATAAAGAACTAAATAGATCTTGATATAATGGTAATAATAGAAATAATAGAATTTGACAAATTAAACAATATGTAATAGGTAATCGTGAATTTAACGATATAAAACTCGCTGGTTAGTACTTTATATTGGATCGTATCTAAATCAGATCTCTGATAAAGCAAACTTCGCATTTGTAATATTAACTAAATTTGATATTCCTTATATA